AGGCACAGAGACGCCAAATAATGAGCGATCGGTAACGCAAAAAGTTCTTCACGCCACGGCTCCCAAGAGCGAACGGTGACGTAAACAAGCTGATAATACCAAGGCTCCCAGCAGAGAGCGGTGACGTAACAAGTTCCTGACACCAAGGCCCAGCCAAGGCTCAGGAACGGGCGGCAACGCAACAATCTCTGAACACCAAGGCTCCCAAGAGCGAGGGGTGACGTAACAAGCTCCCAACGCCAAGGCTCCCGGTACGAACGGTGGTGTGAGTAATTTCGGTTTCTGTTTCTCAAGCGCTCTTTCCGTTTCTGTGCCGGGCCAGGTGTAATGGCCTTCGGCCCATTCTGCCAGCGTGCCTGAATTAATTGTTGGTCAGAGTCCTCAGGGATGCTTTTTGGAGTCTCTTCGGAGCGCTCTCGGGGGCCTCTTCAGGATAGGTTGGGGCCTCTTGGGGACAGTTTTGGGGCCTCTTGGGGGCCTCTCGGGGGCCTCTTGGGGGCCTCTTGGAGCCTCTTTGGGACGTCTTGGGGGCCTCTTAGGGCACAGGCTCTTTCGAGGTCGAACGCTCGAAATGTCCATTTGGGTCCCCCGTCTGGGCCCACTCTTGGAGCCGTCTTGGGGGCCTCTTGGGCCGTCTTCAAGGCCTCTTGGGCCGTCTTGGGGCCCTCTTGGGCCAGTTTGGGGCCTTCTTGGAGGCCTCTTGGCCGTCGTGGGGCGGTCTTGGGCGCTTGTTGGGCAGTTGTGGAGCGCTGGAAAGCCGAGAAGGCTAGAACGCCAAGGTTGGCACAAACCTGAAGGCAATCGATGAATCTTGGTTCTTGAGGCCCTCTTCGAGGGTCTCTCGGAGGTCTCCTTGCGGCGTCTCGAAGGCTTCCTGGGCCGGGTTTGAGCCATCTTCGGCATCCTGGAGCGATCGTTCGGCGACTGGGAGTCCTCTTGGAGCGTCTCGGGGGCCTCCCGGAGCCCTCTTTGGCCCGTCTTGGGGCTCGCTTGGCCCCGGAAGCGTCACGCGGGAGCGCGCCCCAGACGCCAGGGGCCACGCGGGGAGCCCCAGGGGGCACGCGGCGCCCCCCAGAAGCTCCTCCTCCTCCTCCTCCTCCCTCCTCCTCCTCCTCCTCCTCCTCCTCCTCTTCCTCCTCCTCGTCCCTCCTACTCCTTCTCCTCCTCCTCCTCCTCCTCCTCCTCCTCTTCCTCCTCCTCGTCCCTCCTACTCCCTCCTCCTCCTCCTTCTCATCCTCCTCCTCCTCTTCCTCCTCCTCCCTCCTCCTCCTCCTCCTCCTCCTCCTCCTCCTCCTCGTCCCTCCTACTCCTTCCTCCTCCTCCTCCTCCTCCTCCTCCTCCTCCTCCGCCCTCCTCCTCCTTCTCCTCCTCCTTCTCCTCCTCCTCCTCCTCTCCTCCTCCTCCGCCCTCCTCCTCCGCCCTCCTCCTGCTTCCTCCTCCACCCTCCTCCTCTTCCCTCCTCCTCCTCCTCCTCCTCCTCCGCAATTGTGGGCCCGGGCCCCGCAAAGAAACCTCAGGATTGACGACTGAGGGTTTGAGGCGTCAGCCCGAGGGCTCGACATGCCTGTTCGGGTCCCCCGTCTGGGTCCCCTCCTGGAGCCGTCTTGGAAGCCTCGTGGAGCCGTCTTGGGAAGCTTCTTGTGCCTTCTTGGGGCCCTCTTGGGCCGTCTTGGGGCTCTCTTGGAGGCCTCTTGGGCCGTCTTGAGGCGGTCTTCGGCGCCTGTTGGGTAGTCTTTGAGCTTCGGCAAGCCGAAACTGCGAGAACGCGAAAAACCTGCAACATGATCGACCCACGAACCCGGAAAAGGAAGTCAGAAACGCGAGTTTTGGCTACGTTTTCAAGACCTGATTGGGCTACCAGCAGTTGCAATGTTGAAGGTATCGATCGTGCTGTGTCGTGCTAAGGATCGGGTTGCGTAGTGCAATATTGCAAAGATTTTTTTCATTCTGCAATGAATTACGTTGTGCTCTATAGTATTTTGGCTCAAGTCGCCCTTGGCATCCGAATCCTGACCGAACAGATCTGGATCTTAAGCTCGAGCTGCCTGAACGCAGCCCGCCCAGAACTGGTTGCAGTCGAAATTAGTTTGGACTCCAGATCGGACTCAGTTCTGACGCGGGGCGAGACGACACGGGGCGCAGTGGGCATGGACGCAAAAACATGCAACGCAAAAACATGGTTTTCATTTCCTGACAAACTTCGAGGCATCCAGACCTCGTGTTTTATCGCGCTCTGTGCAAAACGCTCCCCACCTCGTTTTTTGCGGGGGTAGCGTGTCTGCTGATCCTGGTATTCATCGAGGATCCGAGACAAGGGGCCACATCCTCCTCGAGTGGGCACGCGCGACACGCATGTTTGACAAAACTATCAGATGCTCCCTTGCTTATCGCAAATAGTTTCGCCGGCCCTCATCAAGTCCAAACCGAGGGCAAACACCTACAAGAGAACTCTGCGCCAGCGCCCTCTCCCGGAAGCAGCCATGCGGGAACACGCCCCGGGCCCCAGGGGCGACGCGGGGAGCCCCTCTCGGGCGCGCGGCGCGCCCTAGAAGACTTGGGGCAAGTTTTGGGCCCAGGCCCCTCCAAGACTCTCAGAAGGACAGAGGTTTACGGTGGTGCTGCTGCTGCTGCTGTACCCGCGGGGGTGGCATTGGCGGCCTGGCGGCCCCTCCCCTCCTTCCTTCCCTCTTCCTTGCTTTTCGGCGGCTGGCTGGACTTGGCCGGCGGCCGCCTGCCGCCTGCCTGACCTGCTGCCTGCGGCCAGGCTTGGCCGCGGCGGCCCCTCTCGGTTGAATTATTTTATTAATTAACGGCTGCGCGCCACTGGCGCGCCGGCAGAGGCAAGGAAACCAGCGCGCCTACCTCTTTGCAACCTCTGCCACGGTGACGCTCCAACTCGTGCCTCAGGGCACTGCGGCGGATTACGAGCCAAAGGTGGTACACGATGATGAAAGTTTGTGCGAAGGAGTGTGGATCAGCGAGTCTGGATGTTTCCCATGCGCAAGTGCCCGACGACATCCCAACTCGTGCCTCATGGGCACGGCGGCGGATGTGCTAGCCGAGCCCCGCTGGCGCGCGCTCACTCGGTAAGCTTCGCGGGCCCTTCGCGGGCCCTGCCAGCCAAGATGGCGCCCCCGCCTCTGCTTCGAAGGCGGAGAACTGCGCAAGCAAACTGTCAGAGGTCCGCGCGGATTTCCTGGTTTTGCGCTGGATCTTTTTGGCGGCGCCTCCGGCGCCGTCCCTGGCGCGCTCCGCGCGCCAGTTTCCATTTCACGCGTCGATGCGGTTGGGTTGTTCTCTGGAGGGGATAACCCAATCTATTTTATCCGCCTTCTTACTTTCTGTTGTTTACCTGGTCCGTCCGACCGACGTGTATTTTGTTTACAGTTAGCACTATGATCGGCTCACTTTCCATGGTTTCTTTTCCATGTTTTCCATTCGGCCCACCCTTTGCCTCTTTCGTCTTCCTTGGATCGAGTAGCAGCCACCAAGCCCGATCGAAAAGCCACTTCACCGGATCAGGCAGGATGGAACCCATAATCTTGCCAGATTAAGCTGGGTCCGCCGGGATTCAGCTAGATGAAGCTGGACCAGTCCCGATTAAGCTGGTTACCGACCGCGAAAATACCCGAGCCGGTACATGTCTTCGTCCTCGCTGCCTGTTTTTCCCTCCTCTGTCTTCCGCCCTCGCTCCTTCCCTGAGGCGCTTGTTCATCGTCCCCCACCACCCACAGATGCCTTGGAGGAGGGTCGAGGTGCAGGACGACGGATATGGAAGAAGAGCTTATCGACATAAACATGTGTTTTCTACGGATTTCTTGACTCTGCGCTTGATCCCCCGGGCAGCGCCTATGGCGCCGCCCCTGGCGCGCTCCGCGCCCCAGGAAGGGGGCTTCAGTTCAGATCCAACAATTCCGTCCGGACCGTCCAGCGTACATGTCAATGTTGTTTGTTGTTCCTCTTTTTGCTGCTTCGGTACGTGCTGCCACATCAGTTCGTGGCCTGACAGTTTTGCCAGCGTGGGCCTCCAAACGGTGGGCTCTGGCAATCTCGACGAGCGCACCGCGTTCCCTTTTTTACGTTTTGCGCCCTGTGTGTGGGGGGGGGGAGGGGGGGGAGCTGATTTACCTTTCTCCGAGGTGGGAATTTATCCATAACCACCGCCTGGGGGGTCGATCTTCGCTGACCTCCACTGGCGGTGCATACGGATATTTTCGGGCCCCCAGGGGCCAAAATATATCCATATCCACCGCCCGCCGGGGCACCTGGATACATTCCCGCCTCGTACTCTCCCCATCCAGCCCGCAGGCCGAAATTGCAGGGCATCCGCGCGCAACCGCCTCCCATGCTCGAGCAAAGCATCCCGCCCACCCGTCCGCCAGTCGCTGGCGAGACTGAGACGGCTGTGGGTGCTGCTAACCATCGGAGCTTGCTCGCGAATCTCAAAAGGTGCAGAGACGCGAGAGCCCTGCTTGTGCAGATCCATGGCTCGGCCGCGTGGCGACGACGATGATGATGCTGATGCTGATGCTGATGCAGACGGTATGGTGATGATGATGATGATGATGATGATGATGATGATGATGATGATGATGATGATGATGATGATGATGATGATGGTGATGATGATGATGATGATGATGATGATGATGATGATGATGATGATGATGATGATGATGATGATGATGATGATGATGGTGATGATGATGGGATAATAATCGTAGAGCATGAGTGTTGATGTGCACCGACAGTTTGGGGTGGGATCGTGGAATTTTCCTTGGAGCCTCGGAGCCCGCAGGGGCGTGCCAGCTTGTGGGGGGGCCTTTTCGCCGGTGGGCCACGTTCCCGGCCTGGCTCCCCTCGGCCCTCCAAAACGGGTGGGCTCGGTAGGTTTGGTTCTGGTTGCCCGTGAAGGCCCCCTGCCCTCGCGTGTGCTGCACGGCCTGCTCCGCAACCGTTTCATGTGGCTCCAATCTGGTACAGATTATCGCGAGGACTGGGCGCCCAGCCCACCTCGCAGCAGGGCGCGGCATGGCGCCCTGACGGGAGCAGCGGACTCCACCCGTGGAATCATAGATTGTGCGAGGCCGTGGCGCGCTGCCCAGGAGCAGCAGGCCGCGGCGAGCTGGTGTGCTGGACGCCGAGCGCCGCAGGCGCGACGACGCCAGGCAGAGCTGGATGGCAGTGTCGGCAGGAGCCAAGAAGGCGGGGACCGACGCGCTGCGGGCCGCTGGTGCTGACGTTACGGACGACGACGTCGCGGGCCTCGTCCTGAAGGTGAGGTCGACGCTGAACGCGGGGCCGGCCCCCCGTTCGAAGCTGGACGAGGCACGACGACTGGAGGCAGCGCTGGACCCGGTGGCCATCCGCCTGGCGCTGGGGAGCCCGGAGGTCCCGGGCTCTGAGATGGCCGAGGCCCTCTGGGGGTTCACAAAGGCCGCCACGCACGCCACGCAGGCGGATAGCCGGATCAGGAGAGTGGCGACCGACACCGATGGCTGGGAGAGGATCGCGGATCGGATCTGGGCCCGTGCAGTCGGCGACGACGGCGGCACGCTGCCCACCGACTGGCTGCTGCACCTGGGCATAGGGCTCCTCCTGTCCAGCCTGGTGGTGGTGCTTGGGGCCGACTCCGGGCGGCACCGCCTGGCAGGCGCAGCTGTAGGGCTGTGTGGCACCGTCCTGCTAGTACGGCGCGTGCCCGAGCGTGTGGTTGCCTGGTGGGCACGCTGGAGGCGGCGCTCGGCCTTCGCCGCGGCGCTGAGCAGCGGCGGGGACGGCTTGGACGTGACCGCCGCCGAGGACGACAACGCGGCCTGGGACGCGCCGGGGGCCCCGACGACCAAGGGGGGTGGCTCGGGGGCCGCGGAGGTACCTACTGGCCCGCTGCACCCCCCGGGGCTGGCAGCACTGCCGCCGTCGCCGTGGGCCCCACCTGCCGAAGGCGTGGGCGCGGGCGCCGCGCCGGCAAAGCCCGGCTCGCAGGACCTGGCGGCGCTGCGGGCGTTCGGCCAGGGGTCCGAGGTGCCAGGCCCCTTCAGCCAGACGGCGGCCCTGCAGCAGCAGCAGCAGCAGCCACAGCCGAGCCCAGAGGTAGGCGTGCCAACGTCGGGGCTCAGCTTCCACGCGCCCCATGCTCCTGCAGACGCGGTGAAGCTAGGGCGCGAGGTCCAGATGGTGGGCGCCACGCTGCGCGAGTTCCAGGCGCAGGCGACCACGAACGTGCACTGGGCCTGGCACTTCTGGGAGAGAATCGCGGCGGTGGATGGCTCCATGGGGCTGCACCCTGACCTCCGTCGCGCGCTGCAGACCCACGGCTACGTGGGCGCGGGAACGAAGTCCCCGCCAGGAGGATCGCTGCAGCAGGAGCTGGACGCGCTGCTCTCCTCCTCCACAGCGCCGCACGGCGGGGGCATGCACGCCTCCCCTGGGTGGGCCGTGGCCCCGGTGACCCAGCAGCAGCAGGAGGACAGCCGATGGAACCTCAGTCTCCCGCCGGACCTGCGACGCGCGGCGCCGGAGATCTACCGCACCATGCGGGGCGCTGGGGCGGCTAGCGCTCGCGACTGGCTGTCGCAGGAAGTGACGGGCCAGCGACGCACGGCAGTCTGGACCGACCTGTGGACTGCCGCCACCAACGTGGACTACTTGCTGGGCGGGTGCAGGACCCAGTCCGAGCTGCTCACCCGCCTGGCGTCCGACGACGCGCTGGAGCTGCACCTGAGGCGGCTGGCGAGCTACGTCTACGAGATGCGGACGAAGGACAGGGTGGGTGCGGCGGCCATGCTGGCTGTGCGCCCGCCCGGGTCGGCCGCCGACTTGGCTCCCACATGGCTGGTGACCGAGGCCACGACCCACAGCAAGGCTGAGCACCAGCGTGACGAGAGGGTCCACGCCGCCAGCAAGCACGACAGCCGAGGCGGCGGCCGCGGCGGCGGTCACGGAGGTGGAGCTGGCGGCGGCGCCGAGGCGGCGGGCGGCGACAGAGGCAGAGGTGGCGATGGCGGGGGGCGCGGCCGCGGCCGAGGGGGTAAGCCTTCGGGCCGGGGCAAGCCTCAGGCTTGACAGCCACTGGCGGACCGAGGGGCTTACGACCCGCCCTCGGTCCGAGAAGGTGCCCCGCGTCTGCGGGTGCAGCCTAGAATGCCAGTGGCGGGTTTGCCTGGCTCGCTGACGCGGGCCCTGCAGTGGAAGGAGGCCGAGGCCAGGTCGTTCTTTCCAGTACCTCTACCTCATCGGCCACAGCAAGGAGCTTCCTCTTCCGGCAGGTTGAGGACGCGCTGGGCTCGACGCATGCGTGCGTGGCGTCGGGCCTGTGGGCTCATCGAGCTCACGAACGGGATGGACCGCGGATCCCTGGAGGCGAGACCAGCGGGCCAGCGTGAGCCGAGCAACGACGACATGATGCTGGCCTGGCAGCTCGTGCAGCAGTATGCGTTGCAGGACGCAGCGCGGCACGAGCGCGACTGCCGGGGGCTTGCCCCGACAGGCGGTCAAGGGACGGATCTTGCCTGCGACAGAGGACCGCAGGATGCCTACACAGGAGAGCGCAAGGGTGCGAGCAGGCACGTGATGATGTGCGCCGCGGCGGTTGCAGAACCTCCCGACGATATGGTCGTGGACCTGCTGGAGGCGCTGCCTGACGGCGAGCGCCAGTACTACTCGGACGAGCTGAACGTTCTGGACTACAGCGGCAAGTCGGGGGTCCTCTTCGAGGAGCTGGAGGAGCGTTTCGCTTTCGTGGGGGGCTCGACGTCCGAGTGCGCCCGCTACATGATGCGGGCCGATCTGCCGAAGGACATGTGGACGACGTCCAGGCCTACTGCGGGTTCAGTTGCGTGCCCAAGAAGGACCCCACCAAGCAGCGGAAGGTCCTGATGATGTGTGCCAGCAACTACGTGTGGGCCGACCCCCACCAGCGCGGAGACCACGGGATGCACGGCGGAGCGGCCATCGCCTCCATGTGCGTCCCGACGGACGAGTGGGGCGCAGCAGCGTTCGACGAGGACAACGCCTTCACCCGCCTCCGCGTCCCCGCCTGGATGGCCAAGTGGCAGGCTTGCCCGCCGATCCGCGCCTGCTGGGCGCGGGGGAAACTCAGCCAGCGTCTGCGCGACATGGTGGGGCCGACGGGCTGGATAGCCCCCTGCTACCACCGCCTGGCCATGGGCGGCTCGCACTCCGCGCACCTGCTCATGACGGTCAACATGGCGATCATCGGCAGGGCGCTACTGGGCGTGGGCGCGCGCTTGGGGGCGCTCGCGGGCGCCGCGGCGCCCGCCGAGGGCGGGGCCAGCGGTGCGCCGCGCGCCTCGCCGCCCGAGGACGGGGGGCTGGAGGCGGACGACCGGGGGGATGCCGGACCTGAGGGCGCTCAGCAGCATCGCTACGACGACGACTGGCTCGGGCAGCAGTCCAGCTGCCGTGCCGCGCCGCCTAGCCCGTCGGGCTACAGCGTGGCGGAGTGGCTAGAGGCGGTGAGGCGGGCGAAGCGGGACGACGAGCGCGTGATGGTGGCGATGCATCTCTTTGCTGGCCGTCGGCGGCGTGGTGACGTTCAGGAGGTGGTGGAGAGGCTGGCGAAGGAGCGGAGCCTGAGGGTGCTCTTTCTTTCCGCCGATCTCCTTGACGACCCGCGGTGGGACCTGGCCAACCCCCCCACCTTCTCCGCTTTGATGGAGCTGTGCGAAGGCGGCTGGGTGGACAGCGTGCTGGGCGGCCCGCCCTGTTCGACCTGGTCGCGGGCACGTTACAATCGTCGCCGACCCGGGCCGCCGCCAGTGCGCTCGCGGCGGTGCCCCTGGGGGCTGCCAGGTCTCAGGGCCTGGGAGGCCGCTAGAGTCGCGGAAAGTAACACCCTGACGCTGAACTTGTTGGCGCTCTGCGAGGCGTGCGGCCAGAGTGGCGGCGCCTTCCTCATCGAGCGCCCGGAGGACCCAGGGCATGCGCCCTACCCATCCATTTGGAACACGACGGAGATGCAGGACTTCGAGACGAGGCGCTCGTCTCAGAGAGCGTGCCTGGACCAGTGCATGCTGGGCGGACGGACGAAGAAGCCCACATGCCTGAGCGGCACGCTGCAGGGACTGAAGGACCTGGATGAGCTGCGGTGTGACGGGCCCCATGCCCACGAGACGGCCGAGGGCAAGTTGGCCGACGGCACCTTCCGCGCGAGCCCACTGGCCCAGTACCCCGAGGGGATGTGCGAAGCGCTGGGCGCCTTGATTGTCCAGACCCTGGCCATCTTCGAGCAGACCGGTTTGGGCGGCACCGGGTGGCGAAGGCCGCCGGAGGCCGACAGGTCGGTCACCGCCTGGAGCTCGCGGAGCACTACGGCACCAGCGGTGGCCGTGCGGAACGAGGACGTGCTTCGCGGCCGTGGGCTGGTGCTGGGCGGGCCGCAGATGGCCTTCTACCTGCGCGTCGACGACGGGGTGGTGATGGCCGGTGGCAGCGGCTGTGGCCCACGGGCCACTGGGAAGATGCACCAGCTCGCGGATGCCCTGGCCGAGGCCGGCTTCGTGGTCACCGACCGCACGGAGGCTAACGACATGCAGAAGGTGCTGGGCTACGCACCACAGGCGCGCCCAGCGCAGCTGCGCTTGCCCCCGAAGAGGACGCGGGAGCTGGTGCGGCAGCTGGAGGAGATGGGCGCCACCCGCACCCTCCACGCCGAGGAGCTGCGCTCGCTCTTGGGGGTGTGGATCTGGGGCGCTCTACTTCGGAGGGAGCTGCTATGCATACCCGGCGCCGTCTTCAGGCTCCTGGAGAGGCACCCGCACCAGCGGGTGTGTACCTGGGCGACCGTCCGCAGGGAACTGCGAGCTATGGCTCAGGTAGTCCCGTTGATGCACGCCGACCTGGGAGCCCCGCCAGCTCCCGTGTATTTCGCGGCGGACGCCATGGGCGCCAACGTGGAGGACGACGGCGGCTGGGGCATCCTGGTGACCGACATGAGCGAGGACATCGCGAAGGACTTCATCGACGCGGGCGGCAACTTGGGCTACACCGTGGCGCGGCTGGACGGCGAGCTCACTGGATTGCGACGGCCCGAGCAGGTCATCCGACGGACGAAGCCCTTCAGCCTCCTGCCCGATCGCGTGTTCAAGCCCGACGAGGACTGGACGATCGTGGGCGCGGGGAGGTGGCGGACGGCCGACCACATCACGCTGGGCGAGGGGCGCTGCGTCGTGAAGATCAGTAGACTGGCGGCCGCCACTCCGGCCCTCCACCGCGCCGTGCTGCCGATCCTGGAGGACAACCAGCCAGTCTCAGGCGCGGTGTGCAAGGGCAGGTCCCCGGCGCACCATCTGAACCACCTGTTGCGTCAGAAGACCGCAGCAGGGTTAGCATCTCGCACAAAGATTTTGATTCCATGGGTGGAGACGCTCAGGCAGCCTGCTGATAAGATATCGAGGTGCCTGACTCGTGCTGAGCTCCGCGGCCTACCTCATGTCGGGGCCGAGGAAGCTGGACAGCACTTCTGCTGAGAAGGTTAAGCCGCACACCCTGGCGGCTTACAGGGCAGCGGCTATGAAGTTCGTGACCTACCTGGACGAGCACGGCTTCGTCCCCGACGGGCCCGAGCAGTGGGACGACCTGCTTGTCGAGTACAAGAACGACATGCAGATGACCAAGTGCAATTTCGAGTACGCCGTCGCGGCGGTGGAGTTTGTCTTCCCACGCCTGAGAAGGAGGCTGACGTGGTCCCACTCGGTGATCGATGCATGGCGAGTTTCGGCAGAGGTGAAGCATGCGCCGCCGCTCGGCCGCGCGCCAGCTAACCTGGCCGCTATCTATTTCTCCTGCTGGGGAGTACCGCGGCTGGGCGTAGGCCTGCTGCTGCAGGCTGATCGCGGCCTGCGCCCGTCGGAGATGCTTCAGCTCAGAGCAAAAGACATATCCTTGCCATCGTCTAGAGGGGGACCGGATTTGCAGCCAAATTGGGTCATCAACCTGGGGGCCAAGTCGGGCACAAAGGCCAAAAGAATGCAGTTCGCCATTATTTTGGAGCAGGGCGGAGTACTGGAGAACCTCCTACACCGAGTGGTCTTGGGAACGCCGCCCGAGGGGCTCCTCTTTCCCTATTCGCTCGTCGACTACAGGCTTCGGCTCAAGCAGTTTGAAGCAGCCTTGGGCCTCGACATTCACTGGGCGCCTCACTCGGCGCGCGCAGGGTTCGCCAGCGATTCCGTGGCTCGTGGCGCCCCCTTCCAGGACATCAAGGAGGCAGGACGGTGGCTCACGGAGTCCAGCCTCCGCATCTACGTGGGCGTTGTCACCGCCTCCAGGGTCCTGGCTCAGGCTGAGCAGCGAGGAATCGCACCGCTCATCCGCGAGGCGGCCGAGAAGCTGCCCAACTACTTCCCGGAGGGCATCTTCGGCGAGGGTGAGGGCATCCAGCATGCCGCCAGCGGGCTGGCGCAAGGACCAGGACGGCTCCTGGGTGCTGCCTGCGGGGGGGGTCCTTCCAGCGCCGCTGGCGGGGGGCCGCCGGGTGGCCTCGCCAGCGCCCCGAGCGGCGCTAGCCCAGCCGCCTGCGCCAGCACTAGGCGCACTGGTGGATGGGCTGCTGGCGGGTCCGCAGCAGCCGGGGGATGCAGCAGCGGGCGCGAGCGCGGCCGAGGCCGAGGCGCCAGCGCCAGCGGCCCCTGGCGCGGCAGCACTGGGGCCCCCGCAGCCGCTGGTGGCGCAGCCGCTGGCAGCGGGCGCGGCCGCGGGGTCGAGGCGCGCGCGCCGGGGCAAGTGGTCGCTGCTGCGCGCGGCCTGGCTCATCGCAAGGTGGTGCGGACGCTCAACCACGCGAGGAGTGACGTGGGCGGCGGTCGCCGCGATGCTGATCGGGTGGCGCTACATGGCCGGGCCGCTGACCCACGTCGGGACCATGATGGGCGTCGTGGCCAGCGTATCTGTCTCGGCAGGCAAAGTGGTCGACAGCAGCCTTGGGGCAGTCATCACGGCGGCACAAGGCGTGTCAGACTTCGCCGTGACGTCGCCCCGCAGCTCGGCGAGCCTCCTGCAGGAGGCCTGGCGCGGAGTGGACATCACCAACCTTCACGTCCGCCAGCGCCACGCCGAGCGGCTCGCGGACGACCCCGAGATCTTGCAGGCCTGGATCCAGCGCGAGTTCCTGACAGGCGAGCCCCGACCGCCTGGAGCCGAGCAGGTCGCCACCGCGATCTCTGAGGCTTCGGTTGCCATACCTCACATGTCGGAGAGATGGCAGATAATGATCTGGCCCAGTCAATACCGCGAGCTGCACATGACACTCGGCCTGCTGCCGTCAGGTTTCTACGGAGTCCATATGGTCGAGCGAATCGTGGATTTCACGGTCCAGTGGAGCAACCCAGTGTGGAGCAGCCTCGACTGTGACATCAGCTCTGAGAGAGATACAGTCGTGGCTCACATCAACTCCACTTTGGCAGGGCTCCCGCTCCCCGAGATCCGCTACATGTCCATGACTGATCGTGAAATCCAAGTCGCCAGGCTCCCAGGTGCCTTGATCAATATTGCCCGTAGGTTCGTGCGTGCTGTATATATGGCAGTGAAGAGTGTTTTGCAGCTCGTTTTGTTCGGAGTCTAGGGTGGTCACCGAAGATATATGATTTTTCTGGAGCACACTGCGAGGGCGGGCCTGGGGGCTTGCTTTAGGTTTTGTTTGTGTTCCAGGTTCCTTCTCAACTCATCAAGATCCGTGCACATTTTGTGCCCCGGGTGAAGGACCAAGCTGTTGAGACACATACAGCTCGCGAGCGGAGGTGGGTAGAGCTCGGCGGCAAACTTGAAGTTAGCAAGCCTAGCAGCAATTTTATTGTACTTCTCGCCTCCCCAGCAAAACATTCCAAGGGTGGGTCGAAACGGACACCATCATGGGATAATAATCGTAGAGCATGAGTGTTGATGTGCACCGACAGTTTGGGGTGGGATCGTGGAATTTTCCTTGGAGCCTCGGAGCCCGCAGGGGCGTGCCAGCTTGTGGGGGGGCCTTTTCGCCGGTGGGCCACGTTCCCGGCCTGGCTCCCCTCGGCCCTCCAAAACGGGTGGGCTCGGTAGGTTTGGTTTTGGTTGCCCGTGAAGGCCCCCTGCCCTCGCGTGTGCTGCACGGCCTGCTCCGCAACCGTTTCATGTGGCTCCAATCTGGTACAGATTATCGCGACCCCCCCACCGTCCCCCGCCGAGCCAGAGCTCGGCGGCAAACTTGAAGTTAGCAAGCCTAGCAGCAATTTTATTGTACTTCTCGCCTCCCCAGCAAAACATTCCCAGGGTGGGTCGAAACGGACACCATGATGATGATGATGATGATGTTGTTGATGATGATGATGATGATGATGATAATGATGATGATGATGATGACGATGCTGACGATGATGAGGGTGACGACTATGATGATGATGATGATGCTGCTGATGCTGATGCTGATGCTGATGCTGCTGCTGATGCTGCTGATGCTGATGCTGCTGATGATGATGATGATGATCATGATGACGATGAGGATGATGACGATGACGATGACGATGACGATGACGACGATGATGATGACGATGACGATGATGGCGATGATGATGACGATGAGGATGATGACGATGATAATGCTGATGATGCTGTTGCTGATGATGATGCGGATGGTGTTGGTGGACGTCATGACGGGGGCGACGACCGTTGACGATGACGACGATGATGATGCTGACGACCACGTTGGTGCTCCGGGCGAAGCCGACGGGGGTGGTGATGACGGTGCACGCCGGCGCCGGCGGTGCGTCGCCGCCGTCGCCGCCGTCGCCGCCTGCGGCCGCGGCCTGCCCGAACTTCTCATTGGCCGGGCGCCGCGGCTCCTGCGCGGCGGCCCCCGCGGCCCCCCATCCGACGACATGGCGGAGAGCCGCCGCGAGGCCGACCCAGACGCGTGCAGGACGACGGCCTCGCTGGCCCTCCCTCGGCGGCCTTCGGCGGTGAACGCGACATCGACGACGACGACGACGACGACGACGACGACGAGGGCCCTCGACGGCCATCGACAGGCTTCTGCGGCCTTCGGAGGGCCTCGGCGGCCAGCGGCGGTTTTCGGCAGCTCAGATGGGAGGTTGTCGGATGTTGTTTTCTTGACGTTTTTGTGACCTGGGGTGTTTCTCATCAGCGGCGCCCCGCCGAGAGCGCCTGAGAGCTGAGTTGTGCTCCAGAAGCCAGGGGCCTCTGGAGGCCCTCGGAGGCCCTCGGCGGCCTCGGGCGGCCCACGGCGGCATCAGAGGAGGCAAATATGTTTTCTGAGGGTAAGGATACTGATGCCGATACCCTTTCCTCGTTGCCACTCAAGGCCAGAAAAAAACGCCCCTACCCTGGTTTACGAGGCGCTGTGCGCTGAAACTCCCGTGGGCTGACGGGGTAAATCCTGCGTGATGTGCCGCGCCCTGGCGGCTCTCGGCTCTGGGGCTTCCCAGGAGGTTTACAGACCACGCACTCGTAACCCAGGGTAGGGCCGTTTTTTCATCCCTCAAACCACGGCCCGTCGTCGTTGTCGTCGTCGATCGACCGTCGAATATTGTCTGTTTGCTTTTTCTGCCTCCAGGGACGCTGTGGCCACGGCTGGATGTCCCCTTGAATTTACCGTCGGGGTTCGCCGAATGTATTGTCAGGGCGCGACCCACAAGGTCCATTCCGATTGGATCGATCCGATTTGGTATTGATGTTGACCGCCTCGATCCAATCCCGATTTTCTGATGATCTGATGTTGCCCGATGCTTTCATGGCGCCGTTGTGCATCTTGGTGCTGCCGATCCGAATCCAATTTGGATTCCGTGCCAATGCAGCTGTCCAGGATGGTATTATTGTGAGCTCCCACGACCTATCTTGACCAGAAGTTCTGAAGACTGAAACGGGTACAGAGCAATGATGGAAAGAATGGGGGCGAAGACTGACTACGGTTCCCGTCCACTTTGAACATGAGGGTACCTTTGGGGGGACTTGAGGATACTCTTGGGGGCGTCTTCGAGAGCATCGATCAAAGAAGGGGGGTCCTTAATTTGATTTGCCCCTTCGGAGCCCGAAGTATAGTTTCTTGGAGCCCTCTTGGGGCGCTCTTGGGGCCGTCTTGGGCCTCTTCTGAGCCCCTCCTTGGTGCTCTCTTGAGCGATCTTGGGGCCATCTTAGGCCTTAGGGGCCCATTGGGATCTCAGGGGTCTCCTTGGGACGCTTCGTTGCCACGTAGAGCAGTTGTGTGGTGATTCTGTGGCCTCTTGGAGGCAGGTTGAAGGGCATCCTGAGCCATCTTGGACCATACTTCGCCATCTTCAAGGCCATCTGACGCATCTGAAGCCATTTAGGAGCCATGTTGGCCCAATCACCTCTCAAGGATGTCCCCGAGATAGAAGCATCTCTCGAGCGCCTAAGGTTTATCGGCGATATTGGCTGTGAGCGAAACTGGCGGCGGTGATGGGCGCCGCCTCCCTTGAGCCCGAAAACCGTCTCTGGGGGCGCTCTTGGGCTCTGATGGGCACCTCTTGAGGCTCTCCTTGTGCGATCTTGGAGCCATCTTGTGGCCGTCATCAGGCATCTACCTCGAGGCGAAAGGGCGAGAGGGCACGACTCATCGGCTTGGGACGGATCTTGGCCTTTCGGGGAGATTCCTGGGGAGCCTCTGCGGTCCCCTGGAACCGTCTGGGAGCTGCCTTGGGGCACCTCGGAGGGATGTTGCAAGCAATCGTGAGTGAACCATCTTGGGCTCGCTTGAGCCATCTTTCGGGGGCGGAAAAGAGGGGGGTGATGACTGGGGGGGGTGGATATCATGGCGTGGGCCATGATATTTCCCTAGATTTCATGGCGCCTCTTCCTTTTTCATTACGTCCCTGCCCCCCCCGCTGGGCCGCGCACGTGCGCCGGTCATGATTTGCACCCCGCCCTCTTGGACCCCCCCCCTCTTGGCCGCTCCCGAATCTTGCAGGCCACCCTGCGCTGTCCGCAGCCATCTTTTGGACGCTCTGACTGCCTGCGGGGCGGCCCGTCCAGACCCACGGGAGGGGGCCAGGGGGAGGGGCAACCCTCTCAGGAGGGGACAAAACACACAGACACAATGAATCGTCGATTCCCAGGAAAATAGGGGAACACATGGGAAGTGGGGGGAAGACAGAAACCCAGAAAATGTAGGAAAATATGGTGGATCCTGTTGTTTGTGTGTATTTACTTGCGTGTCCCAGGGCCCCTTCAGGGAGGGGCAGTCCTTTCCCGGAAAGGTAAGGAGGGGGTTGAAGGTGGAAGCGCTCTGGACCGCCTCCGCCCAGCAGGCTGGTTGGATCTACCCCTGCCGGCCCTCCGAACCCTCGATTTCTGGGGTGCCGCGTGAGGATGCTGGCCAACTCTGGCTGGACAGGGCTGCGCCCATCGATCCCAACCCCTCCTGCACCTCTCTTCCTCCTCCTCCTCCTCCTCCTCCTTCTCCTCCTCCTCCTCCTCCGTCTCCGTCTCCTCCTCCTCCTCCTCCTCCTCCTCCTTTCCGCACGCTCGACTCCTCTCCTACCTCCCTCCTCCTCCTCCTCCTCCTTTTTCCTCCTCCACAATTACTCAATCTGAATACTACTCTCCCTCTTCCCGTGATGACGGTTTTGAAGTGCTCGACCCCCCCCCCCCCCCCGCGTACTGCTTTCCTTACAAACGTTTCCCCGGAGTTGGGTTTTCGCCGGAAGTTTTTTGTTTTCCTCTCAAAATGTTGTTCTCGCTGATGCGCCGGCCTCATTTTTGGCTCAAGGCGTTGGCTCAAGACCCGTACACTTCCCTCCTACTACCCACGCAGGTCTTCGATTGTTTTTCTGGGTGCTCGTGTCTTCGGCAGCTTACGTGAAGATGCCGGCTGAAAAGCACCATATGGGGACACCAGTGAAAAGCGTGCTGAAACCACCATCGGATAAAATGCGACGTACGGGAAGTTCACCACTACAAGTTGACGACGAAGGACCTCGAGCTTTACAAGACCAATTCCAGCAACGTCTTGCGGGAGCTGGCGAGGCGACTGGCTCCAACATGATGAGCAAGACCCCTCAAGCACTCACTACCGATACTTTCCGGGAGATTTTGAACGAGCAGTTGGACCCGATCCGGAAAGATATTTTGGCCATTAAGGAGCACGGTGTTTCACAACATGACCTCCAGACGGCCATCAACCCACTGAAGGACGAGATTGACGGCTTGACCAAGAGGATTGGCTTATTGGAGTCGAATTACACGTCACGTCCGCCAACTTCAGGTCCCACTTCTGCAAGGACAGCGTCAAGTATAGACACGGCGGCGCACAATAAACTGCAAGAGCTTGAACGGGACCTTCAACAGCTTAAACAACAGCGTGGCGCACCTGTTTGCCGTTCACAGCATGATCCTGATGAGAAGCGGTCGTTGACTGGTGTCTTTGGGAACCTTGTGGGGTTCGACATGTTCAACACAGCGGCAGCATGGATCAAGGAAAAACTATCCGAAGCAGACGGCCCCACCCCGTAC